GTAAAAAGCACAGATATGGGTTTTTTTTCCCCCTTAGTAGTTTCTCCTTACACAAGCAATGAAGACAAGTAGGCCAGTATGAAACCTGTGGAAGGCAAACAAAAACTCAATCTTCACATCAGAAAGAGTCTAATTGGGGTGGAGGTATCAATAGAGATCTGCTTAAGTTTACACGACTAAGTCGGATGATTTCTTATTTTTGTCTTTAGGTTAGGTTATGATTTGTCTTGCTGGCTTAATGCAAAGATGGTTCTGTTCACACCAGCTGAGAACATCATTAATGACTCCCTGTATTCCAGTTAGTTTCCCTTTGACATCTGACCCACAATGGCGGTGCCGTCTGAGAACTTCTGGAGATGGCAAGTGTCTGTGTTATAACCGAAGTCCACAGTGAAGAGAAAAGGGGCAAGTACTGTTCCTTGTGGGACCCCTGTGTAACAGACTACCACCTCAGACACGCAGTCCCACATACTGGGGTCTATTAGTAAGGTAGTTAACAATCCATGTGGACAACAGATGGTCCACTCGCACTCCCTGCAGCTTCCCCCTTAGCACTGTGGGCTGGATTGTGTTGAAGGCACTGGAGAAATCAAAAACATGAACTGGTGCAATCTATTAGCCCAAACCTGATCTCCAGACTCTGGGCCTTCTCTGCTCGCTGTACTCCATCTGGTGATTGTATTCAGTCCTCTCCACACTGTAGCAGAACCAGTGCCGCAGGTGAATCGAATGTACCACTCTGTACCCATTTTACCTGATGGTCACAAATGTGGGGAAAGAACATAAGAGACTGTCTAGCTTATATTACACGTCACCTTAACAGAAAGACAAAAATTAATAACTCTGTTCAATATTATTGTGTGTGTGCGTTACCATTTCAGTTTGAGAGCCACGGGTGCTGATAGAGTTGCTTCAGAGTGGGACGTTGCTCAGGAACTTTATTTAGACAAGTTCTCAAGAAATGACGGCAATCTGAGGAGCAACCAAAGGAAATGTGGTGAGATCTACAGTGATTTAAGAAGGTGAACTACACCAGACCTGTGCTGACAGTTCATCATGCAAGAGTGTGTTTCTTACTTTTTGAGAGCCTCTTGCTGATCTTTAGTTTGTGCCTGATAAACTCTTGGGTCTCAAACTGTTTTCTGTGGAGGCTTTCATAAAGTAGCACTCCCAGCTGCCACACTGTTGTAGGACCAGCACTGTAGCTGCAACAGCTGTACCACTCGGGAGGAGCGTGAGCAACTGTGCCTGCAAAATACAGGAATGAGACCTCATTAAGAAAAGGATTAAAGCAAATCGGTAAACAAATAGGTAGGCTGAAGCAGGACTACGTACCATAGAACACTTTGAAAGAGTCTTCCGGCACAAAACAGCTAAGGCCAAAGTCAATCAGCCAAACACGTGGAACATCTGAGCCGGTCTCTATTAGAACATTTTCCACCTTAATATCACGGTGAAAGATGTTCTTGTCCTCAAACGCCAATGCTCCAGCGACCAGCTGTTTCAGTATGATCTGAAAGAGGCAAATAAACATGCTGTGTGAGAATTGGGGGTTTTCTATGCATTGCTAGTTCAAAGTGCCATACTGCCATCCCCACAAGGCAGTCCTATTACTGTAATTACTTGTATAAAGATGGCATTTACATGACCAAAATGAAAACTGCAGGACATGTTGCCAATTCCACACTTTGTTTAGGTGCTCAGGAGGTGAATAAATTTTTAATTCTCCTCCTCAGCATAGCTGAATTATAGGTAAATTTTGTCTGAGGCCTTCAAATGTAGAAATGGTGAAAGGTTACAGGCAATTTAGTATCAGCAATAGAAATGTTTAATACACACTTATAAAGACCCCCAATCATCTTACCTTGGCCACGCCCTCCTTTACACAACCTCCATTGACGTCAATGAACTGAAGGAGGTCCTGTGCAGGGATTGGTCGCTCGAGCACCAGAATTTGCTCCTCCTGTAGATTGTACCAATCCAGCAAGGACACAGATGTCGAGTTCAGCAGCTGTCCAGTTTTTCCATCCTGGAGTTCCAACATAATGGCCACCTCCACTGAAAGACACTTTCTATCCTCAGCCTGTATGACCACCAAATCAAAAGATTTGAGCATTACACAAACTCAAACTCATAAATAAACATCAGTTATTTCAGTGATGAATCAGAGTAGTAGTAACTGGTGTTGCTCACTTGCCTTGTTTTCCCAAAAAATCTTGTTTTTTGGAATGTGTTTTATGGCCACCTACAAGAAACAAACAGGATTTTGGTTAGCGCTTCAGAATGATATAGTTTGCATTCTGTTCATGAAAAACATGTAACGATCCTTACCGGTAAATTGTCTGCTTTACGATAGCCAGCAAACACGGATCCAAACCCTCCTTCACCAAGTTGATGCTCCTGGATGTATCTGGCGTCAAATTCAGCTGAACGGACACAATCA